CATTCCCGCTCGCTCTACCAGGCAGTTTAAACCTTTGCTTTTAAAATTTTCCGGAACAAATTTCGAGTTCAACGAACCATTCCGCCGTATATGTCACGATTCAATTCTCATTCCAGCACATTTGATCTAACAGATTCTCTCTTTACCATTAAAAAAAAATATTTTATCTACTCTTAACAAGTAACATTTAAAAATTATAAACTTTAATCTAATTCTTAATTTTTGCTGTTGAAATTTTTGTTTCTGTAGCTGAGCAGCTTAAGATCGCAACGCTTAAAACTCTGTTGCCTTTTCTGACTCGGCTAATTCCGTTCGTTCGCGGATTACGCCCCGCGCGTCGGTTGGGTGGGAGGAGGGTAATCGTTGGGTATTATTATTATTATTATTATACAAATATATAGATCTCACTAATTTTCTTTTTTAAGTGCACAGTGCTTCCTTTAAGTTAACATACTATGCGTATACGCTTTTTCGGCACTTTACTTATTTTTATTAAAAAATGCAGCTCTCTAAGTGAATACTGGAATTAATGAAAATTGTTCYTTATTTATGAAAAATGTTGTAATTAATATTTGTGTACTTTAAGTAACTCTATATCGTATATTTCGGCTTACATGCAAGATAATGTAAAAAAATTAAAAATCTAAACATCTTGAATAATATCACTTCATCAATATGTACTTGTTTGCCCAGACGCCAACTTTGAGTTTAGGCGGATAAACCCAATCTTAGCCCTTCCTTACTTATTTCTTCTTATTTAAAATTAATAGAATTAGAAATAAATATTTTCTGTAACTTTCTTTTATGTTTTAGTTTTTAATAAATAATTTATATTTCATATCGGCTTTATAACCATATATTACAAATTTGTAATTATTATAAAGCAGATTTCTAATTTTTTCGTAAAGGAAAACGAATGAAAAGAAAAAGTTTTGGATGAATGGAAACAGTAACCTTTATTTGCATTAAATATTACAGAAACTAAAAGAAGAAAACTTACAGTTTCGGTAGTTTTTTCCAAACGTATATTATTTTGCCACCATGTTATAACTGCAGGTGGTCTCCCTCCAGCACTTTGGCACAGTAGATCATAACGGCGCCCGGCAGAAAGAGGCTGGTGTGCGCCAAGTAAACGAATACTCAACGGAGGAACTATGTAAAAAATACCATAATATATTGAATAATACAAATACAAGGCAAATGTGAGATACTAACATATATACACTTTTATATTCGCAAAGTAAATTGTGCAGAGCATAAAAGTTTTGATTAACTAACGGCTGTTTGTGACATCTAAAACTAAAAGAGAGCCAAATAAGGTTACACACAATATATAAAAATATTCAGGAAATTAATTGATTTCTGCCTGTTTAAATTTTAACTTAAGTAAGAACTGACATATCTTTAGAACATAAAGGAAACGTATTCAATTCCTTAGCACTCTGTGTGGTTTTCGAATTTCTGCTAAGTCACCAATTATACTATGAAATTTGATATCGGTACCGAGCACAATAGTGAAAGCATCTGTTATTTAAAATTTCCTTTGAAGAAAGATAGGTAAAAACCTAAAACAAACACTATTCTAAAGTTCTTCAAACTAAAAGGTGAAAACAATTCTTTATATAAACTGACAGTAGTATTGATTAAAAACRTCTTCTTCTTTACTGGCGTAGAAAGCGCTTACGCGATTTTAGCCGAGTTAACAACATCGCGCCAGTCGTTTCTTCTTTTCGCAACGTGGCGCCAATTGGATAGTCCAAGGGAAGCCAGGTCCTTCTCCACCTGGTTCTTCCAACGGAGTGGAGGTCTTCCTTTTCCTCTGCTTCCCTCGGCTAGTACTGCGTCGAATACTTTTCGTGCTAGAGTGTTTTCGTCCATTCGGACAACATGATCTACCCGCTGTCTCTTATTTCCCTGAACTATGTCAATGTCGTTGTATACCTATCTCATATAGCTCATAGGTCCATCGAAGGGGATATTCGCCGTGGCCAATACGCAAAAGTCCATAAATCTTTCGCAGAAYCTTCGAAAACTTGTAACGTCGACTCATCAGATATTATCATCCTCCATGCCCCTGCACCATATGGCAGGACGGGAATAATGAGTGACTTGTATAGTTTGGTTTTCATTCGTAGAGAGAGGACTTTACTTCTCAATTGACTACTCAGTTTGAAGTAGCACMTGTTGGAAAGAGTTGGATTTCGAGGCTGACATTTTTGTTGCTGTTGATAGACGAAATTATCTACAACTTCGAAGTTGCAACTGTCAACAGTGACGTGGGAAATTCGTGGAAAATATTTCGTCTCGCTCTCGTTCACTGCCAGACCCATTGAATTTATTGAAAACTACTTTTATTATTTTTAAACAAGTGTGATATTCTCCATATACGAAAAATATGGCACAAAGCATCCCACGATTTTCTTGAAATAATACAAGTATTTTTCTGTTTATATTACATTAATTTTCTTTTAGGAATTATTTGTCACTTGAGTATGAAGTGCTTTAAAAGCAAGTTTTTTTAACTATATTTATTTTTCACTCTTTAGTTTAATTAGGTTGTCAAATATCTCCCTTCCTCTTTTTTCTCTTTATTCAATGCTCTATAAGAAGTGTTACAGTAATCGAATTTAGTTCAAATATGCGGCGTTTTGTTAAATAATCTGTTTCCATCTAGACGGAAATTTCATAATACCCCCTCGAGAAGCCCCCTCGTTATTTGCGAAGAACTCGTACAGCCACTTTTCACAAGCCCTTTGGAGTTCAACTTTACATCAACAAGGGCGTTCGCCATGGACAGGAATATGTGATAATCGCTGGCGCTATGTCCGGTCATCAACGAAGTCTGGCGTTGTCCTGGTGGAACACTACACCCTTCCTGTTGGCCAACTCTGGACGCTTCTAAAGGATCGCTTGCTTCAATCGGTCCAGTTGTTCGCAGTAGATGGTAGAATTAGGCGTCTGGCCATATGGGAGCAGCTCATAATGGATGATTCCCTTCCAATCCCACATCAAAATATTCCTGGCCGTCAATCTCGGCATGGCCACTGTTTGCGACGATTCACCGGCCTTAGACCATGACCATTTTCGCTTGACATTGTCATATGTGATCAATTTTTCGTCGCCAGTCACCATCCCCTTCAAAAATTGGTCGAGTTCATTCCCTGACAGCAGCATATCGCAGGCGTTGATTTGGTCAAACTTTTCTGTGTATCCMGCCTTCTGCAGATGGTTTAAAATGGTTTGATGCCGGTCTAACACGATGTTTTCCATGATTTGAACGGTATTCGAAGTCACAGGTCTTCCGCCGGGTGGCTTATCCATGGTGTCGTTTTCACCCGCTCTGAATCGTCGAAACCATTCCTCCGCAGTTCGAAGTGATAGAGTATTATCCCCCAAAACACCATTAAGGAACACTTTAAAATCTTGCGAATTWCGGAGTTAGTGAACTCCATGTTTACACGCCTATTACGTTGTTGAATATCCAAAGTAATCATGCATAGCGTCGTTTTATAAGTTATGTCAAGACCTTTMAAAGATGTATAGTATTGCTAATTAGCCGCGAAATTCAAAAGACAAAAAGACGGAGGGGAGTTATTTGATAACCTAATATTAATCATGTTTTTTAGATTTTTAAACCATTTTTATATTAACCATACGTGATGTTTTCACATTCTTTAAAGATGTATTTGAATAAATTTGTTTTCGAAATGACAGGATGTTGATGCTTTAGCTATAGTTTTAGAGGCATTTTATTTCCATGCACCTTGTGCTTATCAAACTGTTGATTATTTTGTCAATTTCATTCTGTTTCAGTACTACAAATAACAAACATACAAAGATGAATGCATATATACGGAATATTATGCTAATAAAAGCTTTATAAAATCAGCAAAATGCACTGAGGACAGATAATTGTTGTCTTGGTCTATGAAAAATTATTGTACCATTTTTCTTGAGCATAAGATTAAATGCCTTAATGGCGTTTCACAGAGTATGAGAGGAATGGCGGGGTAACCTCACAACCATATTTGGTTAGGTGGGATAAGATATAGGATTTCATGTAACGGTGGGCGGTGCCAAGCCCATTGTCCAATTTTTACATCTGTTTCTATAAAGCCCTTCCCGACCATCTTTTTCTGAAGTTTAATACTTGTGGCGTATTTATTCGGAGAGTTATGCACTTTAGTTTTAAACATAAAAGTGGTTAGTTTATAATTTTGTATATATTCATAGTCTACAATCTAAAACGACTTCCTCCCAGCATGTTTGGTCGAGTTAGCTTTTGTGGTTAAGAGGCCATTAAAAACAAAAAAATTACATAGCAGATATCCTGGCGCGATTACGACCATCTGCAATGCCGACCTCTCTTGGGAGCCAAAGAACTCGTGTACCAAGTTTCATCAATATAATTACATTCAGACTAGAAGAAGTTGCAACTCATACATAGGTGCATTCAGGCGAAGCTAATACGAGCGTTATAAAAATATGTGTAGCCCCGTTCTCTTAATATATGTAAATATGAACAGAAAAAAAGGTACATGTTCAAATATCATTGAACATGCATATTTATCAACAAAGCCGAAATATAATTAAAAATAAATATCATTTTCAAGATACATACATACGTATGTATGTACATATGTACATAAACATAGTCATGCATTTACATGAAATGCACTTCAAATAATAATAAAAATTCATRGTACAAAAGTCATAAAGTTACAGAACACATAACATTAAAGACACACACGCATACATGTATTACATTATTTACTTGAAAATAACCCCATAATAAATAATATGCTGCAATACAAATAAACATATACACATACACATATATTTAGTTATTTAAGATAGTTTTAAAATTTGTATATAAGCAAGGAATACACAAGAAAAACCAGAATGAATATATTCTCCTTTGACATCAGTCTATCATTGCCCC